TTATTATATTCCTGTTATCATTATTTTATTGCTGTTGTTGCTATGATCATTATTACGGTGATCATTATCGTCATCGTCATCATACTTATCGCTACCATTAATACCATCGTCACGGTATTTACTACCACCACTACTACCACTACACTCTCTCACCATCATTAGCACAACAGTCACTGTCATTTCTATTTCTACTGTCCACGGGTTAATTCTACATTATACAAGTTAATTGTGCAACGCTTCTTATAAATCTTGAAAAATAAAGTAACTCTTAATAATAGTAAAGTTTAAACAGCGTACATCTTATAAGGGTAACATAAGAAGCTTTTTTTTATCTGATTTCTGTCTTACTGTAACCTAACAGTACATTTTTATTTGATATTGTAATTTTGTTTTATCGCCGTCCTTCCTATAGTAGTCTTGATAGTCAGAGACAGCACGTAGTACATATACGTTACTGAGTACAACCAGAAGCAATGAAGTTTTTGCTCGCTATCTACACCACATGAAGAAGTTAAATAGAGTTCACGGGTTATTTTTATATGTGGCAGTGTGCTGTATGATCTCTCTTCTCCGTTCTTCCTCCTCTGTTCTCTCTCTTTGTTCTTCTTCCAGTTCTTCCCTTACAAATTTTCATTCTCTGTTCTTCCCTTTGTTCTGTCACTCCAGGTCTTTTCTCCTGTTCTTTCCCTTGTTCTTCTTTCTCTGTTTTGTCTGTTCTGTTCTTTCCCCTGTTATCCTATTTTCCCCTTGCGTTCTCCCCTTTCGTTCTCCAAACCCCTTTCTTATGCTCGGTCTCCCTTCCTTGTTTTCCATACCCTGTTCTTCCATCTATCCTGCCCACAAGGTCTCTTTCCTAGTCTCCTTTCTTCATCTCTCTAACCCTGTTCTCTTCCTCGTTTCCCCAAGTCAATTCTTCCTTGCATTCCCCCCCCCCCCTCCATCTGATTTCCAAACCCCTTTCTTATCCTTGTTTTCCTTTCTCGATCTTCCACGCCCTGTTCTTCTTCCCCTTGTTCTCCCACTTTCTTCCTTCCCTCTTGTTCTCCCCTCCCCATTCGTTTCCACCGTTCGCCCTCCCCGATCCTGGCGTGAACAGCCCCGGCACGTTCGGAAGGAGGAAGGAGGGCAAGGGAGCGGGGTGGCTGCGGCCTCGACTTCAGACTAATGACACCATTGTTGTACAGGGTTTAAATGCGGACGGGAGAAATCTGTCTCTCGGTCGTTCCTCTAGGTGTTGGGATAATGAAGCGAAATTACAGTTATCAGTCTAATTGAATCTTTCTAATTATTTCCTGTCTGATAGAAGAATGGATGTGTATAGATGGGTAAAAGAAAGTACGTGAATAATACGTTTAAATTTTAGATAAAATTATCACGCCACAGTGCCAAAACAGACGATCACACGGAATCGAACACTTCCCAAAGTTCGATTTTCCCTTTCAGAATTTAATTCCTTTCGAGAAATTCCTTTCAAAATTATCTTTTCAAAGATAAATACCACTTTAGCCTCTTCATTTGATATCCCTTTCTCCCGCTTTATATAATTCAATGAGGCATTATATAATTCAACGTTTTGCCAAGCGCCAAAATGCGCTAAACATATTGAACAGTCACTGAAGATGTGCAATCGCTTCATGGATCATCACTGACAGCCTCATGACCTTCACAGCCAGGTATTTTATGTGGCTACAGTGAACAGTGCGTCGCCAGATTCTTATTGCCATTGCAGTATAGAATTTATGTGACTCGGTGGTTTACGTGGTTACTCTGTGCCTAAGCCAACATATTACAGACAAATTAGGTTTATTGAAAGTTTGTTTGTGTGTGACGGGTATTCCTTCCTCTTTATCAATATGTTTGAGTTCTCTCTGATTTTTCTTCGACATAGGCAGACACCGACTCCCCTAGAATTCATGAAGTATACACCAATGGTTCCTTGTGAAAGAATTTGGCTGGACTGCTTCGTTTGAAGGCGGAGTTAAATATTGCTGGAAGAAACCGAACCCCTAGGAAGTAATCCAAGAAACTCACCCTTTAGAACCGCTGTTTTAAAACCACCAGAGCGCGGCAGAGTTACTAGGATGTGCCTGCGTTTCAACTGCGTGACTTCCGGTTACCTGGGGAATACCAAGGTTGGCAATTGCTGTGTGATTATACCGTGTTATTCTAAGAGTGCTGATGGTGATCGATATGAAGTTGACAAAGACATGGCATGTCATCATGACATTCGGAAAGGAATTGAAAATACTTCAAGAGCTTGAAATATCATCAGCTTTTTAGGCATTTTGCGTTGGGTCAGGCTCGACCTAAGACTGTACAATGAATATTTGACAGAAAATATGCCATGGTAAGTGTTGAAGTCATTAAACCAAAAAGTATAACGACTTGATGCAACATTAATCTGGAAGAGATGGGGTGGGAAGGCTATTAAACTTCATCATTCTCTCCCTAAGCACTGCCTCATTTTCATATCTACTCGAGCCTTCCTTCCTCTTTTCTC